GACTTGGCACCACTGCCACAAACAAAGGATTGAACCGCCCCTTGTGTCCTTCAGGTAAGACATGAGCTGCTCCTAAGCTGCACGGGCTGCCGAAGGTTAGAGCCACTTCCATTGGACAGCTACCACGGGCGCTTTAACATAAACATACGTTACCAGGCAGAAGCATGCCACCTCTCTTGGTGAAAAGCCCCCTTTCCAAGGCAGCCATCTTCTTGGAGCTTGGCCTACTATCTCGTCTTTCGGATGGGTGGGCTGTGAATGACCTAGATGGTGCCAACTGGAACCATATACAAATCTATCCCTTAACCTCCAAACTAGCAAGCCAAACCATCAGTGAGGGCGAAAGTAAGAATGAGTACTATGGACGAAACCAGGGCAAACGGGGCCTTGGGCACTGACAATATGCTTGATGTCAGTGGTGATCCCGTAAAGGGCATGGGGAAATGAGTACTTCCGTTTGATTCGCTTTGTTTACCTTTTTCGTTTATTGATGTTGCCAGACCACTGTTCTTTTGCATGCCAGGCGCCGGTATCAGCAAGTGCGCACTTGCTGTCACAGCATCATATGTTTGCCAAATGATATCAAATAAAAGAAGTTGTCCATGTTCTTGTGCAGTTCCATGCACACAAAGCAAGTTCAGCTTTAACTGATTGCATGACCTTATGCATGCAGACTAATAAAAATCGGGGGGGAAACAAAACAGTTGAAAGAAGCTGTTTCAAGTGCTTTCCAAAAACAAGGAAAGCTGCTTCTTGGCTCAAAGGAGCAATCTTAGGTCCATGGGGGTAAAATTATACATTGCACCCCTCCCATGCTACATGCTCCGCGTGATGGCGCATTTGGTTGCATTCAGTGCATGCCTTGAACACGGTTGACCCTTCACATTCCTCTCTCTGTCATAGGGATACCGCGTAAAGTCAATCCAAATTTGTACAATTCAAACAGGCCGCAGGTGCTGAATGGCTGCAGCGCCAGGTACTATAGCTTCACAAAACGTGCCACAGAAAAGAACCCGCTTTTTGGTCTGTGTTTGCTTAAGCTGCTTTCAGCCCAAGCCAGGCAATCCAAACACGTTGTTTTGACGCAATTGAAAATGCGTAGTGACTGAGTGGCGGTCCCCCACAATACTGCCATCGGAAGGTAAAAGCGCTCTGAGTCCATGGCACTATCTTCCGTTTCGCCGTCTGTCAAGAGCATGGTATGGCTCAGACGGTCCTGGCAAGAGTCCCAGGGAGCCAATCCCTCCATTTAAACATGTTGCGCCAACTTTGTGCAAACCTCCTTTTGGTTTCCCTTGAAGGAGGATTAGGGGTGATTGTTCAACCGAACTTGCCCAACCCTGGTCCCGACCCCAAATGAAGAGACTTGCAGCAAAGCCTCAATTGGCGCCATAAATTTTCTGAAGCATTGAACAGAACTGCCTCCAGTGCCTGCGCCATCAGCGGCTGTTAGCTCCAAACACAACTGCGGCACAATCGCAAGGGCTGACTATCAAACGCTAAGACCAAACGAACCCAGTAACAGCTAAGTTGATGCCTCGAGCCAAACCCACATGTTGGTTCGGAAAGCCTCGGCGCGGTTCTTGTGCAGCTCGGCAAAGCCTCAGTGATAACATATAAGGCCAACACATGGTTGGTTTTCTTTTCGTTTCGTTTTGTAGCACATCCCGCGAATCTGACCAAACAAAAACGAGGAAAACCCTTGGACAAATACATGAACAGCTTCATCCCTTCCCCCTACTACAACCACCCTGTTCATGAATATGATTGCGCAGGCATGCCGCTATTACTTTAACTAACCCAATACTATGCCAATGGCATGCTTGCTGGGCTCCTCACAGCCCTTCGGGGCGCTTTCAGCACTTCTCGTCTCCAACCGACGCCCACCGAGAACAGGCTCGACTAATACCGATACTTGAGAAGTTGCGTTTCCACCACACAGTGAACAGGAGTCCGTTTGTTTCTATCCTATTGCTTGAAACGCCGCGCACGGAATCTTCAAAACGCACTGAGCTTTCGACATGAGTTGCCGAGCGTCCAGCCCTCTTGGCTGAGGGCATGGCCACGCAGGTACAAATCTGCCCGCGAACTTCCCGAGAACGCAATTCAATGTTCGCTTGATCCGTACGTGATGCAAATCACTCACAAGCAATGAAACGTTGTCTACAACGACACTCAATTATTGTTTGAATCGCCGTTCACTGAGTCTTCAGGATGCACTTGTTTGCGACGCGGTGTTCGACGCGGGAATGAGCCCCATTCCCCAACTCCAAGATACTGGACGCGAGCAGCCCGTTCAACTTTGGTGCTGCGGGAGTCACACCTGCAAAACCTAAGCTCATCAGCAGACTGCAAAAGCCTGTGGGCGGGGGTTGCTGCGCAATGAACCCCTCGCAATCCAGCATGAGGCGTGACGCGCTGCTTCATTGGTCGCAGAAATTGGCGCGAGCAAATCCACAACATCAGTCTCAGAAGCGCCTCTGGCGCAAGAGAACTCTGTTCCTCCATTGTTGATAGCAGAGATACACTTCTTGCTCTCGACTTGCGGCAACCACAAAGTGAAGGCGGAATGTCTCAGGCTCGAAAGTTATCCGTGTCTTGTAACGCCAAAGTATTTCTCAGAAGCGCTGGGTAAACTGGTAGGCACTCGCGCATCTTCGTCTGGCGTGGTCTTGGCTCCCTGACAGGAAAGAGCGCTGCTCTCGATCCGCAACTTCCTGTCGGGCCGCTGTGACTTTCCGCATCTCGCGAACTGGCTTCAGCAGGCTCCACATGTTGGAGGGCGCACGTGTCACGTGACACAAACACTCATTCACGCCGGCCAGGTTCAACCCAGGCGACTGGCGCCTCAGCTGCTACTGCACCTATTGTTAAGGGTGTCCTTGCAGTAACTTGTGGATCTTTGCCAGACAGTTATCCTGCCAAACTCCCGAGGCAGATTTCTGGCAGGCTCGCCAGACTTTTCAGACCTGTTCATGCGGAAAGGCCCATATCTTTGTTCACACAGATTGGCACAACAGCACGGCTTGCTCCCAGGTTCACGCGCAAACAATAGCAACAGCGATTCAGCAGCAATGAGAGCAGACCGGGTCTTGTGTCCCAGCGTGCACCAGCTGCGATTACAGGTTAGCCAAACTCTGCAACAGCGAGCAAGCCAAACAGGAGATGTCAAAAGCAAATCTCGCGAGTTTTTTGGAGTTGCACTTGAGGCTCAGCAGCCCTGGAAGACTCTGTTAAACCATACTGCGCCGCCCGAGAGGAAGCGCCGCCCGAGAGGAAATGCAGAACCTTCTGCAGAAGACAAAGCTTGCTCCGATCGCTCCACCCGGATCTGCTGCGTTATAAGTAAAGAAGATGTCCTCTCTAAACACGGCAGATATCTTTTCAAGAATCTTGTGAGTCTTCCTGCGTCGAAGGAGAAGCCAGCAAAACCTCAGCCCCGCACCCGGAGAGCAAGCTCCTGGTCGCCGATTGCTGGAAAGCAGACTGATTGCCAGCAAACTCCACCAGCTTTGCAAAGCATGCGCCCTTTGGCCTCACACCCCTGGATTAAAGAGACATCACTTACCAGCTCGCCAAAGGCTTATCAGCGAAGATTGCAGGAAGTAGGAAGCCGCGCCTCTCTCTCATACGCATGCCCTGAAGAAGCAGCTGCTGGCTGTTGCGAAGCGAAGTCACCTTGCACCTCATCACCGGCAGAATCCTGCGCGTCTACAGCTGGGTCGTTTACTGACAACCTGGAACGCTTCCGTTGGACAGGGATGATCTCTTGCAGGATGTCTTCTTCTGCATTCGGGATGCGACAAGAATTGTCTGATGATCTTTTGCCAGCCCGCGCAACTCAGAGCCAGCACGCCTCATCTGCGACGGTGATCGAGGCATCCAAGTTCTTACGAGCACCAGGCCTGCAGCACTGCTGCTAGGAAGTTTACAGGTAATAGGCTTGACTTCCAACAGAGTGACTTACAGCCTCAGGTTCCTCCACGCTGTACTCATCACTGGAGGCAGCTACCGAAGGTTCACCTCCGGCAAATGTGAAGGCAGAACGCTTGCTGCAGCCTCGATGATCTTGACGAGCTCCGAGTTCGAAAGCTCTTCCAAATCCGAAACCACTCCGAACCGGGCACGAAAAAGATACCCCACAACAAGGGGACCCGCCCACTCCGGGAAAAGCCAAACAATGTTGGATTGATTTGCATGCTACTCCAATCACTCACAAGCAATAAGGCATAGTCTAAAACGACATTCGGATTAGCAGGGATGGGGGTAGTATTTAATGGTGCCAACGCACCCACTTGCGAAGACAGCATTGTGCTAATGGACAGCGAATGACGAATGCGAGTTGTTTCAACAAAGAGCTGGAAAAAGCAGCCCTCATCCATACAGCCAGCAAAAGCCCAGCGCACCGATACTGATTTCTACAAACTCATTTTTCAGCAGCATCCTTTAGACGGGATTGAGGCACACAGGGGCCCGTGCTGCGGTGGAGCCCCTGCCAAAGAGCTGTACCTTGCAGAGCAAAGCCGGCTGCTCAATTGGCATGGCCTGGGGCTGTGCGTGCATTTTTTTTTGAGGGCACCCGTTCCGGATCGGCTTGAATCAAACCACACCCGTGTTTGGCAGAAGACTCGGCATGCAATGCATCTTCCCTCTTCACCATTTGGGCTTCCCGACCACTGCCAAAGGTCATCCTGGTCAGGACCTCCTCTGCCAGTGTTTTGCCTGCCTCACCAGCAGCTCCCCGCTCACCGAGGCATTGTAGGTGTTTCACTCCCTTGCTAAGCTTCGCACCAAGCATGATACAGAACTTTGCACCACCAGTGGCAGGCAGGGTTGCACGCACTTGGAGACTCACTTGGCAATCTGTTCTTTGATCATTTTTGCTCTGGGTGATTATGAAGCCGGATGTTCTGGGCTGCACTTCAGCAAGAATTAGGCCATGTGGAAATTGCTCTACCCAACTCCATGCATTTCTCAATCTGCTTTCTTTGGCTGCCCGCGCCACAACGTCACACAATGTCACTTGATCTCCTTGACATATCCCTTTTCTGTCAGCTATCCAACTGTGAAGCTCCAAGCCTAGCATGCTGGCACTCAAGGCTGGCGCTGCATCCATCTTCGTCAGCGGCAGTACCTTCAGCTCGAGTCGAAGCTCTGAATAAGTTACCAAACTGCTGCAAGCAGGAAGAAACAAAATGCTTTGCTTGCAGCGGTGGCCTGCCTCCCAGCAAACTGAATCACTGGTTGGTATTTGCATTCTGGACAATGCGGCTATTGAGACCCCGGCCAGCTCACCCTGCCGGCAAAAGGTGATGACACATAGCCGGTCCTATTCGAAGAGCACGCATGCTGAGAATCGGAAGGTTGGAATGCCGCTTTCATATTTTGAGCCCTAGAAAGCTTCGTTCAATGTCCTGATCGTTGAGCGTCTGGATCACGGTCCGCACAGCATGTTTGGCGATGTCCTTGACTCAACAAGCTCTGCTTTTTTAGTGTGTGCTTGGGAGCGCTCACTGATGCCAAAGCTCACACTCGAAGCACTCGCAAGCCAAGCCCGCGGCCAGCATTGAGAGTCCATTGCTCTCGGTGGCGCCTGAGGCAGCCTCATTGAACAGACACAGAGCAAAGCCAAAAGCAAGCAAGAACCAAAGCGCAAGGAAAGTGAAAAAGAAGGAACACCCAACCGCACATGTCAACTGCTCGCAAATAAAGCATGAAAAGAAATGATGCTGTCTGTGCCTTGCCTGACTTGCTCTTGCCCTTGCCACAACAAAACGCCGTGCCTTGACGCTGGCTTCCATGCTCATGGACCAAGACCTGGGCGTTCGCAGGTGTGCCACTTCCGCTATCAACTAGGTACACCGCGTGTAGAAGGCTGTGGTGCGAAAACTGCATCTTCAACCGGTTGCCGAGGAAAACATCAGGAATGTACCTCTCCGCGTTGTCAAATGTCGCAACAAACTAGGTAGTACCAAAGCTGTTCAAGCTCTTTTTGCAACTTGGCAGCAGATCAAGGTAATCTTGACAAACGAACGTCGTCAAGCCTTCAATTCGTCAAGCCTTCAATTCAATGGCGAAAGCCAAAGCAGGCCGCGCTAACATGAAGGCCAACTCTCCCAACTCAAAAGCCTCTCAGTTTGTCAAAAATACTCCTTCATTCGCGGCGAAGTGCTAAGCGAGCTGACTGCGGCGGAGCTCCAGTTCTGCTCATGTGGCGGGCGTGTGTGCTTTGCTGAGTGGGCTCACTGTGCTCTGATTCCGCGCGGGGGTCCATGCAGTGCTCAGCGGGCTCCTTGCCACGGCTGTTCTCATTGTGCGCACGCGCGCATGTACGCAGTTCTGACCCAGCTCCTGTGATGGGGATTGTGAGCATGTGCGCTCGCGTCGCGTATGAAGTGTGCTGGCCGGGCTCAATATGGCGATATGGCAGGGGGTTCTGATATTGAGTAGGTGTGGGTGCAGTGCTGAGCGGATGCGCGACAGCGCTGACAATGCGCGACAAAATGAGACATGAAGGCCAAAACAGGCAAAGGCCCAAGCCTGTGAATGACAAACATAGCAGGTCATGCGCTGGCCATGCAGGCAATGCATGGAACGGCACTTTGCCCTGGGCTGCCCAGCACGTCTATGACGCAGCTCACATCTGATGGCCTTGGATCCACGCTCTGGTCTGGCTCTGCAGATTCTAGATGAAATGTTGGCACTTCGGAAGGCAGCAAACAGTCCGATCTTCATAGTTTGCGCGGAGTTCTTGAAGGAGAGGCATTGCATGAGCATTGTGCCAATCCCTAAAATCACCAAGGCAAGCATGGCACAAACTGTGGTTGGTGTCTGTGGGTGTGCCACATAGGCTGGCCCAAGCTGCTTTTAAGCTTTCGGTTTCCAAATGAACTGCATCCAAGTCGGCATCGGGTGCACCAAAGGCATTGCCCATGACGCATTCTTCTCCTATCAACTCTGCCCCTAGCGCTGATTGTGGCCAAACCTGCGGTAACATGCCGAAGGCTTCGCACGATGCTACAGATTGTAAGACAGGGTTTCAAGAGACAGAAGTGTTGACACCCCGGTGGCTGCTGGACCTTCCAAACTTATTCAAGCCTGCTCGATGCTTAGCAATGCGGCGTGCGCCGCGCGCCCACCGGTGGCCGTGCTGATAGCAGCAACGTGCGGCTGCCTGCATGGCGCTGTGCAAGCTTCTAGCTGGCAGTCAGGAGATTTGAAAGGCAAGGTGCGGGGCCAAAAAAAATGCCTGGAATATGTCAAGAAGCACAACAAACTTGCAAACTTGTCACAGCCAGCTGGCAAACAGGCAAGCCGGGCCCGAGTCCGAAGAAAGCATGCCCTAGGTGGCTATCACCTTTGGTTTGGCTCAGTTTGTTGCCCCACAACCCGAGTGGCTCGCGAAATCGAGATTGACCAGCAAAACATAGCGTCAAGCAACAAGGAAATCATTCCAAAACGCATGTGCAAGTGCCAATTCGAAAAACCAGCACCGACAAATTGCAACCTCCAAAAATGAAACACCGGACGGATGAACCGATGCCGATGAACATGACAAGCGTTCTCCACAGGTAAGCTACTCAGCGACTGGATTCAATTGACCACCCAGACTCTGTCTGTCACACCTCTGTCTGTCACACTCAGAGTTTGCTCAGCATGCCAATTGATGCAGTGACGCTGCCCCGCATTCTGGCAGCAGCAGCAGCAGAAGAATCGCACACCTGCTGTACCAAGGTCCAAAGTACCTTTCGGTGCTGACACATAGAAGACCCCAAAGTGGCTGGTCTCCTTTGCGTTTCGCCTCGATCCCTATCCGAGGGGATTCCCCATCTTTGGGACACCAAATGGCTGAAAAAAACAGGACACGCTGGCGAGTGACATCCAAACGCCTCCGCCGGCTTCGCCCTCGGCTCGCAAGAGCTGCACAGCCATGGCTCACCTGAGCAACAAATCATGAAGTGATCAGGCACAGAACAACATGGACGTGTCTTGAGAGTAAATAGTTGTTCGCTGTTTTTAAACAATTTTGACAGAAGCTCCCCGAAACGACACGCCCATAAGGGCAGCTCACTGGCCAATGCTCATGCATTCGGATCCAGCCTCTGGCCCGAGCTTTGAAAGTTCTCCGGCACAGTGGCTCTGAGCCGGACGCGGGAAAACATCCATAGCTGCGGTCAACATATCCGCCGCAAAGGACATGAGCAAAGACTGAGTCACGCCCGGATGTCTATCAGCAAAAAAATTAGCTCCCACACGTCTGTCCCAAAATCGACCAGCGACTACTGAATGTGGCGATCAAAATTCATGCGTGTCTGTATCTGTGTCTCTGTGTGTGTGTGTGTGCGTCGTACGCGAGCTGCTTCATCATTCAGTATACAATTTGCGTCTCTCAATCATCATGGCACCATATCTTTCAGAAAGGTAGCAATGGCTCTCGGGGTCAAAAGACACAGCACTGACAACTATGATTGCAAGGCCTTGGAAGATTTGGAGCTATCCTCCAATGCAAGGCCTTTCTCTGTCAAGGCTCTCCTTGGGAGGAGGGGTGCCCAAGGCGGAGCCCGGCGGTGCCACGCGCTTGGGCCCCGAGTCGAAGTTGGAGCCCCTGGGCGCAGAGCGGGATGTGAAGGCATTCGTTGGTTCCAGAAGAAGAGAAAGACCAACAGTGTGAGGGGAGTGCCATGTTCAACTTCCATGAAAGCGGAACCTCAAAAGCGCAGAAAACCAAAGTGAACTTTGATATGTCAATTTGTTTGATTGACACCTTAATTACAGCGCCAAAAGAAGCTTATTTGAGGCATTGACAGCAGAGCAGCAGGCAACAAAAACTGCAAAAAGCCGTTGTGCGCTGCACATCTTCCAGTCAGACTCGCCATGAGAACTGGCCGGGAGGAGCTGCAAATTCCAAATGAAAGTGTGCAAGTGGCTGCTCATGTCTCACTTGCATTTGGCGCAACAATTCGGGAAAATAAACCTCAACACTGGGACAGTGGCCTGTCGCAATCGGCCACGAGTCAAAAATCGGCTATGACCCTCAAACCAAACCTCCACACCAAGGACAGTTGGACTTGGGCGTTCTCTAAACCAGGGTCCCTTGTTTAATCTGAAAGAGGACCCGAAACTAGTTCTATATTTTATACTAGTCCCCTGTTTGCAGAAGCACCTCATCGCCAAAACAAGTCAAAGTCTGGGCTTCCAGCCGCGTCTTCACCGGCACCGGCGAGGGCCGCTTTCTGTCCCGGCTGCGACTCCGGGAGCGCTCCTGGCCGACCAGAAAAGCGCAACTCGCAGGTCAAAAATCAGAAAAGCAATCAGCAGCGTCTGACAAGGGCGCCATGCAAGAGATGGGTGAGAGTGCAAGTGGCTCTGGTTGAGTACGACTCTTACACTTAAGACACATCCAAGTCTGAGCAAAGGACCATTGAATCGTTGAATCAATCGTGCTTGACCCTGTCCACGAGAACAAGCGTCCCAATACACCATCATAGGCTCTAAGTAGACACGCCAGCCCCTCTACTGGCCCGCAGAAACGACTTGCAGCCGCTCTGCACCAGCACCCCTGGCTCTGCACCACCAGCAGCCTTCCCAGCAACCTTGCTACCAGCACCCCCAGTGCCCAGAAATCATGCAGCAGCACCCTGCACCAATACCCTGCACGCCCGCACTTGCACCAGCACCCAGCACCGCAAACAGCATCACACGCCGATGCCTGGTCTTAAGATTGGGCATAGAAGCGAGAACTCCTGTGGTTTTCAGCTTGGGGAGCATGTTGCACTGAAGCAAACAGCTGAAAAATTGTCCAGGCTGTTTGAAGATGGGGCTTACTCATGTGATCACTGTCTTGGGGTCGCAATGCCTGGGCAGGTGAACAAGCACCGCATGAAAAATGCAGTCAATGAAGAAGCACGGCAGAGGAGCTTACCAGAATGATTCTCCAGCCGGAGCTGCGAAAGTGCCCTTCGCGCACTACCTTCACGCGGAAAAGCTGCTATTAGAAGCTTTCCCAGACCAAGAGGGATTGGAGCCGGAGGCCGCTGGCTTCAAAGAGCGATCGCGCAAAACATAAAGTAGCATTTCCCCTCATGACTTTCGTAGGCCACTCCTGTCTTCGCAGAGGTCGCCCGGACAAAGAAAAAAGGACGAAAAGTCTTCAGCTATTGAACCTCCACCACACCGATCCACGCGGAGCGTTCATCTGCGATGTTACAAGTTCGCGAAAGCCCGGAGTGAGAGCGCTTCGAGACGCATGCTCTCCACAGGGCGACTTACCCATCGACAAGTTGGGGCAGGCGCACCGCCTTCAAAGAGTCATGCGTGCCTATCGAGCTTACTTTCTGCCTTTCATACACGAACTCCCTAGAGCACTTTAGCCAAACACCGCAGGAAACCTCCCGTGTAACTTGTTCTAGCAACCTCTGATGTAACTTGCTTGTGTGACTTGCTCTAACACTCTCTCGTGTAGCTTTCCTGGCACAACTTCTTTGTGCAACTTGCCTGTGCAACTTGACTTGACTTGCGCAATCGGCGCCATGTTTTTCCTGAAGAATCCTTCACGACGCTTTCGGGGGAAAGAACTACCAAACGAGAGAATGTTCAGTGAGCTATCTGGTATTGCCAAAACAAGGTCGGAGCCTTTGAGCTGGGAAGGGCTTGGATAAAACCACCCTCCCAAATCAAAAGGCTAAGGCTTTGATCTTCCTCAAATGAAGTTGCTCGTGCCATTACAGAGTACCCCAAAACTGTCAGATTAACGAAGATCAGAGGCTATTGCGGGCTATCCCTTTAATTAATTGTGCATTGCAACTTCTAAAATCTAGCATTGACAAGACTTAGGCTTAACCCTTGAGCTGGGAAGAGCTTAGATAGAACCACCCTTCTCCAAGAACCATCAGATCAAAGAGCCAAGGAAAACAGGAGAAAACCCTAAAACAAAAAAATCCTGGGGACTAATGTCAGCCAGCTATCTTTCCATCACAGACTTTTGCCTTGTTGGTTTGTTCGTGTTCTGTCTGTTTTCTGTTTTTTCTTTGTTCTGTTGCTGCTGTTGTTGGTGGTGGTTGTTCTTGTGGTCGTCGTCGCAGTCGTCGGTGTTGCTGTTTCAGAAGTGCCTTGTTTTCTGTTGTCTAGGATTTGTCCACCTTAAGCGTCCAGATTACCTTTGGAATTGTTTTTGATTTTCTGTTTCGTTCTCAAAAGCCCCAAAAGACCGAAAGCACTGCATTTTTTTTCGAATTATTTCAATTGGTAGGTTCTGGGTGGGGTGCTGTATGTATCTATATATATATATATATATAGCTATATGTATGTGTTCTGCATAGTCGCTTCTGCACACAAAACATTGAGTTGAATGGTGCTTGTAAAGTCAAACATATCGCGCGTGTGCATGGGTGGGAACGTTTTCCAGTATGATAGGCCATTAACGTACAGTAGAACAGCATCGATGGACGAAGATCAGACCAGGCTGATAAGCTTTGCTGCCAAGACGCACAGTGTCTGTTGCAGTCGGGCTTGCTTGAAACAACCAAGAAGTCTCTGCACGCCCTCCAGAAAAGACAACACGATGGTCTCTCAACACGTGCTGCTTTCCAGGAAATGGCACCCACACACTTCCGAACCACTGCCACGATATTGTCCATGCATATGTTTGCATGCTCCTATTTGCAGGCTCCTGCACATGTGTCGCTGAGTATGTCTGTGTGTGTGTGCGTGACGGCTGAGAGAGAATGTGAGTTGTTTGGGAACATGCCACACCAGCACCAAATTACTTTTGTCTTGATCTCAGGCGTGGCAAGTCCTTCCATTTGTGGACCATAATAGCATTGGACTTACAAAGGTTCGTTCCTGAAACACCAGTAACTTTTACCACTCGTGTCTGTGTGGAGATCGAATAGCTCCCCCACTCTGTGCCACTTATCCCCGTCGCCTTCTTCTCCTTCCAGGGCCGCTTCTTGCTGACGCTCCGGCTGGCCTACGGAAAGGCGCCTTCTCGTGCTCTTCCGTGCGAAGCGACTCAACAGAATTTCAATCGACTCGTCACATCCTCCCGCTTGGCCAAAGCTGGAAAAAGAGCAGAAAGCAGCATGACCCGGAATAGAACTTCACCTGCTTGCGCAGAAACAGATAGGAATGTGTGTATGTGCGCTTGTTTATGTTTTCCATGTCACCGTCTCTTTCCAACTCTCTAACTGCACCAGTTTAGAGCCCGCAACGTTGAACCCCAGTGAAAGCTTCTAGTGAGTTTCAAACTTCCGAGTACACAAAAATGTCTGACCTCACTAGGATGCCACTTGAAACATCAGCTGAAACCCAGCTTGACCCTCACACTTGACGTTGAGCAGTGGAGCCAGCACGTGCGAACGAAATTCTGATCGAATCATTGAGCCGAACTTCTTAGTGGGCTTCACAGCACCCACAAGCATCAACAGCTCCAGACCCCCAGGCCTCCGCATGGTCGCGCTCCGGCGACTCGCTGGGTGCGTGGCGGCCGTTGTCGCGCTGGCCTGCAACAACAATGACTTGATTCCTGCACGTAGGATGTGTGTTCTGGAATAGCAATTTGTTTAATGCAATAGCCAACCTTCATAGTGTGAATCGTCACTGTTCAAGGAATGAGCAAACCGCACTATGAAGAAAGACTGCCAGAATGTAAGTTAAGTATGCCTGAAAAGTTGGTCCGATGCCGGTGTTTGTGCTCGTTCCCCTATGTAAGGTACTTCGGGATCGGTCACAAGCAGATTTATTTGGCCATCGCTTACATTGGGTAAGACCTGCAACATCCAAACATCTTCATCAACACTGATACTTCCGAAGGCCGATAGCTCCAACCCTCACGTCGCAAACTCATCCGCACGTCATATGTTTGCTTTTAAGTTTCAATCGCTATACTTTCGCCATCAAGCTTGCAATTTGTCAGCCTCCTCTCCAAGCAGGAAGTCGGCTCAGAAAGGTCTCTAGGGCGTCCTGCATGAAGCCAAACCCATGACGGCACGCAAAATGTCCGCATGGTGTGACACCAAATTTGCCAGCTGCCGCCAGTCGACATATCCAGCTGGTTGTGATTCTTACTCTGTCTGATGGTTTGATATTGCCAGGCAGAAACAACACAACTGTGCTACCAAGGAAAAACATGAGCAAACACTGCGACTGAAACGCCAGTGCCTCCAAACGCAATCTTGGAGTGCCTGCAAGGGCCAAGCCAAACTGGACAGCTAGTTAAACCCCATCGAGGAAGTCAACATAGTAAATCCTTACCTTGGAGGTCTTGTCTTTGTCTTTGCCACTGGTGGACCAGTTGTGCCCAAAACAAGTAGGAAAGCAAACTGTCCAAGAGGAAAGCATAAGTCGTCAGCCCAAATCAAACTCGATGACGTTCAAAAGCTGCGTTAAAGCTACAGTCCGCAGCAACATTGACAACGGAAAACGCAACACATGATACTGCATTGACACAATGAAATGCAATGGGCATGATGAAGGCAGTTTCAACAGAACGTGCATGCGAGAAGAAAGAGCAAGACCTTGCGGTTTCCCCTTCCAAAGTTGCAACTTACTGGTGAGCTCCATTGAAACTCCCATTCGGAGGTCCAAAAATGGGAGATTGAGGGCCTCTGTTAGAGGCAGGTTTGGGCTGACACTCCAGCGCTCTGGGCCGTTGACCATCTCCCGTCCTTAAGGAGGCGACGGCCAAGTCACAAACCAAACACCACTGAGAAAACTGGAGAAAGCTCTTCAGCCCAACAACAAGCTGACACCGGAAGGCGTTGGGTATTTTCCTTAAAAGTAAAGGACGGACTCCCTGCCAATGGACCCACCTAAACATCAGCCAGCGAGAATCACACGCCGCAACATACTATGGACGTGTGTGCTCGCATTGAATTACAAAGCATCGAATGACACATCTTGCTACCAGGCATCTCAGAAAAGTCCATGAAGACCTTGACCTGCCAGTGGAGGATGACAATGTGAAGCCCTCAAGCATTGCAATACATGAACCTCGAAAATCTGGTTTGAATGGTTTTGGCCGTTCGTGAAAGTATCTAGACTCCAGCAAAATTGTGCAAGAGATATTGAACAGACTGAAACAAGAACCACTTCAATCACACAAAGCCAAGCTTGTCGCAAACCCCAATGAATTACTCCGATCAGGAACCTAGCTGTGCAATTCCAACAAGCCAAACAGTTTACCACGGTGCAAACTGTTTGTGTTCCCTGCGTGCTGCACCTTCCCTTCCGCGCCAGTCATCGGCCCCACCCCCCCGCACGGCCAGGCATGCTTGAACCCTCGGCAAGTTTACAAGCAACTCACAGCTCATGAAGAAGCTGTGTAAAAGGAATGTCATTGTTTGAACTGAAAACACATTCAACTGATCCCGAAATTCTGAAGTTGAGCATGCTTTGGTTGATTGCTGAGATTGTCAAGCTGGTGTTGTGTGTTGAAACAACACGCAAATGTTGTGTTATTCACGCCAACACAACCCTCATACAGAGATTGCTTCCGTTGTTTACACATATCATACTTGGCAGAAGGAGGCTGATCAGGTGAAAGCAATGTCCTTGCCAAATGTTTGGCCAACATTGGCACGCAGCATGGTCTATCCGATCAACATCATCCCTTGTGTATCAGCACAGTTTTCTGCTCGTGGACGACTACCCCCTCCACAGTATTGCCGCTGTGCTGTTGTTCGCTGGGAATCTTTGAGACAAAACCGAATGGATTTCCCTAAGATCTGCCCTCTTGTACCTGGTTGTCATTGTGATGCGATTACTCTCGGAGCGTCCAGCTTTAAGGGACGGGGTGCAGACCACGTTCAAAAAAAACGACTGGCAGTCAAACAAACGAGCCGTTAATTTCTCGTTGTGTGTGGACCCTACTCAACCAACCACGTTCGTGCACTTTATACATCTGCACACCTTGCTGAATCACGCGACCAGCAACTGCGCAACCCAAAGTGATTTGTCCAACCGTAGCAATATTGCATCAGGTTCCCACGGTAGGGAACATGCACTTTTACAGTGAAGAATGCGGTTTCGTCACAGGGTCTTTTCGTGGAGCTACTCTTTCTGGTTCTCATCAGCAGGACTCTGGCAAGCGAGCGCCAACGTCGCAATATTGTCAACGCAGGTTTTGGCAGCGAGTTGCCGGAGCACTCTGTTGTGAGAATCATTTTGGCCGCTTTGCCAGGTGGCATGGCACATGTGTCTCTGTGTTGAAATGGGCATCGAAAGCTCCTTGGCTGACAGCATTGGGCCTGTGTGGTTTTGTGACAAGGCATTAGATGCTACGTCACAACGCGCAACGCATTGTCGTTTCAGGAGCACCCTACAGCAACAAGACCCTGCGCAACTCTGAGCATCGGTCTGCTAGCGCCTTGCAACAGCACCCTGCAAAGGCACCCTGCAACGGCACCCTGCAGCAGCGCCCTGCACAACTCTGAGCCTTGGCCAGCAACACCCTGCAGCAGCACCCTGCAGCAGCACCCTGCGCAACTCTGAGCCTCGGACTGCTAGCGCCTTGCAACGGCACCCTGCAACGGCACCCTGCAACGGCACCCTGCAGCAGCACCCTGCACAACTCTGAGCCTTGGCCAGCAACACCCTGCAGCAGCACCTGCGCAACTCTGAGTCTTGGGCTGGAGCAACCGCGCCCTGCAACCGGAAGCACGCGGAAATCTGCGTCTCGGCCTGCAGTAGCACCGTGCAACAGACCTGCAGCAACAAAACTTGCGCAAGGCCTGCCTGGAGCAACTCCCTGCTACAGCACTCCACGGCGCTCACCCTCGGGATCTGGACGACGCTACAAACAAACTATAATTACGTTCCTCTTTCTTGTCTTGATTCTTGTTCTCTTCATCTTCCTTCTTTTCGCTCTTACTTTCTTTCCTTCTTTCTTTCTTTGTTTTCGTTGCTATCTATCTATCTATGTATCTATCTATCTATCTATCTATCTATCATATCTATCTAGTCTGTTAAGGCATGTTGCACTGCTCCTATCTTGAACCCAAACCAGACCACCCAAAAGAACAAAGCAAGTCCGAAGCGGCCGCAGTTCTTTTAACCGGGATTGCTGAAAGTAGCACTGCTTCCAGGGCACGGATGCGCCTGGAGCAGGAGGTGCGTTGACCCCCCGTGAAACTTAAAGGCAAGACAACGCGTGTCCTTGCAGGTGCGTGCAGTGCGCGCAAGGCGTGGCAAGCGTGCCCACGCCGGTCCGGAGACCTGGTGGTCCTGAGACCGTGGGCGGTCCGGAGACCCGGAGGTCCGGAGACCCTTATAGAAAAGGCAATGCAGGGTGGGTGGGTGGGTTTCAAATGAAACAGATCAAGTTTGGGTCAAGGCTAGGAGCAAAACGGCCACCGCGGAAGTAGATTCACAACATGCCCTAAACACAAGGGAAAAGAAAACCCTAAGCGCTAAGGCATGTTGCACTGCTCCTATCTTGAACCCAAACCAGACCACCCAAAAGAACAAAGCAAGTCCGAAGCGGCCGCAGTTCTTTTAACCGGGATTGCTGAAAGTAGCACTGCTTCCAGGGCACGGATGCGCCTGGAGCAGGAGGTGCGTTGACCCCCCTTCAGTGTTTCAGGCAACCCCGGTATAAGCGAGCCAGCTGGGCCGCCGGCCTCATCACCCCCCTTCAGAGTGGGGTTGTACCTGGCAGGGCAAATGTCGCACGACATTGCATTTACATGCTTATCAGCATTTGCTGTTCTGGGACTGCTCATTTTCGCCAAAGCGGCTTGCTGTGAAGCTGCTGACAGATGCAGCCAGAGCCAGGGCGATGTCGGGTCGCGACGCCTGTTGGAAGGCAGCAAGGCTTGTCTACAGCTGGCAGCAGCTGCTAGGTGTTGCGGGCGCCAGGGCGCATCAATCAGACACAACTGGATGCCTCTGCCTGACAGCGCAAGGCCTGCGGGGCTGAAGCGTACGCGACTCTCTGGGCGATGGCTGAATCGGGCTAGCCGACCTCTGCTTAGGTCGTCTGCCCAATCATTGTTCCTGCCTGGAACATGTGTGGGCTGCAGCAACACATTGTGCGCATGCGCCCAGAAGGCTGTGAGCTGCACGAAGAGTTGCAGCGGCCAAGAAGTCGTGAACAACTTGTTAAGGCTTGCCTCTGTTGCCAAGTTATCAGTGCCTGAAGGCATGCTGAATGAGTAGTGCCCACCACCAATGTGGCTATGGGTGGCCTGCAGCAGCGCCAACTGCGCCAGCGTTTCGAAACATGCGATGTAGCGCTGTCCAGGCTTGACAAGGCAAGGCCATACTGCCCGTATGTCCTGCATGTTCCAGGTTTCGGCAAACCAAACCAGTTGTGATGAAGTGATTGCCCAGCCACCTATACCTACCAAGTCGCCTTCGGTACAGGCATCTGCGGCTGCCAGTGCCTGCAGCTGGTGCGGCCGTGCCAAGGGCTGAACTGGCGAGTGCTGGAAGCACGAAGCTAGCCACGTAAGGCATTGCTGGCTCGACTTGGAAAGGCTAGTATAGGGGTTATTTGGATCTG